GCTATTATGGATAATAACATGCATATATTAACACATTAATGACAACGTAATCTTAATGAAACTCTTTTGGATGGAACTTCAAAATGAGTCATTGAGACTGCAAGTGTAAACAAAAAAATTGTTTACTTAATATAGATTTGTAGCAAAAAGCATTTTTATGATTATATATTTAACTTATTATCCTGAATAATCTATGCAAGGCTTTGTAGACATGTTGACAACGTAATCTTAATGAAACTCTTTTGGATGGAACTTCAAAATGAGTCATTGAGACTGCAAGTGTAAACAAAAAAATTGTTTACTTAATATAGATTTGTAGCAAAAAGCATTTTTTATGATTATATATTTAACTTATTATCCTGAATAATCTATGCAAGGCTTTGTAGACATGTGAATTTCCAAGACACTATTGCATTTATTTAAAATATTTACTGGTGGATTTGGCTGATGCAACAAACCAGTTGATTTAGCCAAAAAAAAAAGTAAAATGTGCCAATTTTTGTATTTGCAGTTGTGTGTGAATCCATAACAAAACTGTAATGGTGTTCAATCCTTCTAAACAGTGTATACATGAATAATAAGACGTTCAAAATGATGGTGAAGAATGGCTAAATAAGTTAGCTGTGGTACATGACAGAATGAAAGAACAAGAGCATTTACCTGTGTTTTCTGAAGCAGAGGCGCAAGTCTGTCTATGTCTGTCCTCTCTCCCCTCATTTTCCTCCCATCAATCTGGGTCGACACCATGTCAGAAATCTCTGGTCTGCTTTGCTCTGAGTGTCAGTGTCGGTCCCATCACAGTCTCTCATTGGCTGCTGGGTGCTCTGCGACCAGGTATGAAAAAGCAAAAAGAAGCCAAACATGCATGAATGCGCTGGCTGTATTTTTCTGTTTTATCTTATGCTTTTGTTCCCCTTGCAGCTTTCTGAAGTCTGACACTTAATTAACTTAGCGTTTTTCTCTTTTTCCCCCTTCATCTGCCTTACCCTACCCTCCGCTTTCTCTCGCTCTCATTCCTTCTCTGCCACTCTCAGTTTTTTACCAATTCAAGCATTCCCCGCTGGTATTTGATCTCAAAAGCAGAACCAATGGAAAAGCCCTTCTCGCTGGCCCCCCATCTCTTTGATTAGAATTAAAATGTGATGTTATTACCTCTGAACGCGATGCTCAAGTACATTCAACAGTCTTCTCTTCCTCCGTCCCTCTATTTTATGCCCTACTCTCTCATTCCCTAGAGAGATATGAGGTGGCAGAGGGAGCTCCGAGTCTTTCTTCTTTGGCTTCCCTTGTTTGTCTCTCACTCTCTCTCTCTCCCTCCCTCTTTTATTCTCTTACTACCTTCTTGATGAAAGTGCGTCTCTGTCACTGCAGGAGAGATGAAGAAAGGTTTGATTCTACCTCTTTCTTTGTAGTCAAATCTGCAGTCATGTTTCCAAAGACCATGAGTAGAAGAGAGGTATTTTATATCATTCACAATCTGTTTTTTCTTCTTTCTTTTTTTTCACAGGGTTCCCACAAATTCCATTGTTGCCGCTTTCACATTCCAAGTCAGATACCAATCCTGGGAATTAATAGATGAATAATAATAATAAGAGATTAAAATGATAAAAACTTATTACAAGTTGTACAAATATCTCCAGTAAAACAAAAATGTATCTACAGTAGAACATAAATTATGCTCATATTCTAAACTATTTTAAAAATGGCATTATGTGTTCCATAATATTATTATTTATTATTATTATATTGTATTCATATTATTATTCATTAAAATGTATAATAATAATATATAAGTAGCACTATTTTACAATGTTCTTGTTACACATTACATGCACTTACTATAGTAATAACAGTAAAGTATGCATAATTACAAGCAACTAACCTAATTCTTCTACTTCTTCTTATTTCCAGTTTTTCCATAACTGTAGAAAACCTGCATAAAAAAGGTTCATATAGTAATATATCAAACTTTTGAATATGTCTGGGTTTCCTGCCACCTCATTTGCATGGTGTCAAATCCATTTTCAATGAATACTCCCTGGGGATCTTCTTTTTCTGCTCTCATTAGCCATGTTTTCAAACCATCCCCACAATGTCTCCATCTTTGTTTATTGTGTGTTCTTTAAAGCATGGGTAATATTGAAATTTGATTGGCATGCTCCCCAGGGAGAAGAGACTGAATCATTCCAACATTAAGAATTCTGATTTGCTTTTATTGCTTATATTACTGCAGCCATATAGGCAGCACTCTCTGTTTTTCAGGAAGACTGACAAATATCCTAAAGCACATACAACACCTCTGACAGATATTTCCAGCGTGCTCTTCTATTGGAGTCCAAGAGTACCATCTGGTGGATTCTTCCACACTCAGAAAGCATCTTCTCTCTACTGTCCTTCAGAAAATGCTATTTTAGGGCAAATGCAAGTGATTCATTATGAATATAACATATATTGGTTGGGTAGAAATTGCTATTAGTGAAAAACATTATTTTAAAACCAATGTAATTACAAAGTAGAAGTCATGCAAATTAAAGGGGTCATATGATGCGATTTCAATTTGTCCTTTCTCTTTGGAGTGTTACAAGCTCTTGGTGCATAAAGAAGATCTGTAAAGTTGCAAAGACTAAAGTCTCAAATCCAAAGAGATATTCTTTATAAAAGTTAAGAGTCAACCACGCCTACTTAAAACGGCTCACTTAAGCCAGCCTCCGCTAGCGAAACTACTTTGTTTGGTCTTCCAAAAGAGGACACGACTAGAAATCAGTGGTTAAGTTGTATTTACAACACTGTTCCAGAACAGTTCAACCCAAATATTCAGATGTGTGCAGCACATTTTATGGAGGACTGTTTCCTGATCCTGGTAGAGTAGACTACAATGCCAGCTGTTCTGACTCACAGACTGTAAGTATGTTTTTTATACATAAGAATTTGCCACTTATGATTCAAACACCAGTTTTGAGCAGTGTAGAGTAGCACTTGTTGTTTGTAATTTCTCCGATCACAAATGCAGACATGGTTTTATGTTTACGCGGCGCGATGCAATGCAACACGTAAAAAGACAGTATTAGTCATTATGATCCATAATTATGTTCCCACTGGATGCAACAAATGCCTCGTTTATAATGGGTTTTAATATTTTTGTCTTGTCGCTCCGGGGACACGGCATCACAGTATGGTAAGATCGTAACATTTCCGTCACACGCTTGAGGTATACAGCCAATCACAACGCACTGGATAGCTGGCCAATCAGCGTACACCTCGCTTTTCAGAACGATGAGCTTTGTAAAAATAGACGCGTTTCAGAAAGGCAGGGCATAGAGGAGAAACAATAATGTACAGTATGTGGAAAATAATGTGTTTTTAACCTTAAACCACATAAACACATTTCATTACACCAAATACACAAAATAATGTTCTTTTTAGCAGCATCGTATGACCCCTTTAAAGTGTAAACCATAAAGAACATAATTGAGAAGATGGGATTTAATTATTCATAATTATTTTGTTTAATTCTTTTAATTTATAGTCACTCCTAGTTTCTGTAATTAAAACGTTTGAAAATGAGCAGCTAAGTATCAAAATTATCTTGGGGTCAAAAAGGTTAAGAACTACTGGTTTATAGCAACATTAAAGGGAAACTTAAAAAAATAATAATAATTGAGGCTATTCACCTTCATGTTGTTGAAAACCTGTCTGACTTTTATCCATGGAAGACATTTCCCTAACATTATGCCTAGCCTAGACCCTAGTCCCTTTCTTTGCTAGTATCTAATATATTTTGTGTTTAAGTAAAAAAGTGAGAATTATAGGATAAAAACTCCAAATAGAAACAGATTATAATAATTTCATCCAACAGTAACTATAATCGCGTGACAACATGCGGAAACTCGCGCTGATGTTTAGCGTCAGTAGACCCAGTATTAGTGGGGAACGGAACCAAAAGTCCTCAGGTTGCGCGTTACACCCGGACGTAGTTGTGTGCGACAGTAACGTGGAGATCTATTTTCATTTAGTCAGTAACTCCAAAATCACTCGTTTTCATTCAAATGGCTGCTAAAAGCCAAATATGCTCAATATGGCTTGGATCCGAAACTGGAATTTTAAAAGGTAAGGCGTTTTTTACCTCTTTGTCGACATATTGTACACTTTTTCTGACTAGCTAGCTAGCCATGTTTAGTACACGTGAGTTGGCACCACATATGTGCCATTTAATTTGCTTGAGGGCCACTGAACTAATGATTTGTTATTATCCATATTTCCTTGAAATGTCTCTACTTAAAAAAATTTAATGCAAATCAAATTGCAGGACTTTTTACTAAACATTACAATGTAAAAATGCAGAAAAAAAATGAAATCAACACCAATCTCTGCATCTAGAAATGAATCCCAGCAGATTCATGGTGAATTTCAGGAACAAATGTAATAAATTGATCAAATAATACAACTTTTGTATCATGTAGTCAGTGTATATATAGGCATTATATTTTTCACTTGATTTGTTTATCTGTTGCAGTGATAAAGTAGACATTAGGTTGCCTTTCTGTACAGTACAGTAAAAAAGGATTTTGTCCCCATAATATGATCCCATAAACAGCTCAATATCACAGAAAATATATATTTAATTTTTACTGCCATTTATCACTGTATATTAATTATAATGACATGATCTTCAGAAATGAACCAGTCAAAAGGAGTTTCTAACAGTTGCGTATTTATTATTTGCGTGTATATTTGTTCATTTTTATTTACTTATTGTAGGTCAGATGAGGAGTCTGACTGTTTAAAAGAAATGGGAGAGGATGTTTTATTGTGCTGTTTTCTGTCTCTAAAACACTAAAAACACATAAAGTGACCCAACACTAACTATTTTACTTGTTCCTTATATAGCTAGTAGTGTAGTAGCAGTACTGCTTCTACATTTTGAAGATTGAAGATTAGAATTGAATAATGTATGATGATCTCTTCATCTTTATGATAATTTTGTTGAGTCTTAAGATAGATGTGGACTTATAGTAAATCTGATCCTCAGCCACCCTCATCTGTCTCTGTTCTTAGGTTGAGGTAAATGTTGGAAATGGAATATGCAGAATGCAACAGAACCCATCACAGCGCCATCGTGTGGCTACAGGGGGTAAAGAGAACCCGCTGAAAGTTTGGGATCTGGAGAGACCAGATAAGCCAATATTCACAGCCAAAAATGTAAGGCAGAAGAAGAAAACTATACGCTTTTTAGCCCCCAGTAGTTGATTTCTGTGTTTCAAGCTCTACCTTTTTTCTTCAATCCGTCAGGTAGCCCATGACTGGTTGGATATGCGAGTGCCCGTGTGGGTGAGAGACATTGGCTTCATCCCAGATTCAGATAAAATAGTCACATGCACCGGACACCAACAGGTTTGTCTTTACTCTGGCTTTATCCATGCGTGCTTGTCTACTGTTGTTTCTTACAAGGTATCTATACTGGACATCTGGAATAAATGTAGTTACTTTAGAAATATCATATATCAGATTTTTTGTTTACAGTGACCATCTGAAATTATGTACACTATCATTCAAAAGTTTTACCAATACTGCATTTATGTGAAAAAAAAATCAGTATAAACCGTAATACTGTGAAATATTGTTTAAAATTAAAATAACTATTCGAATACATTTCAAACAGTAATGTATTTCTTTGATGGCAAAGCTGAATTTCAGCAGATGATCCTACAAAATTCTTTTATTATCAGTGTGGAAAATGGTTGTGCTGCTTAATATTTTTGTGGAAACAATTATTTTTTTCAGGATTCTTTGATGAATAGAAAGTTCAAAAGAACAATTTTATTTGAAATTTTTTAACATAAAATGTCTTTACTGTCACTTGCCTTTTTTAACTGAATCAAGTAAAGTAATGAATCATTTTAATACAAAATCATGTAAAATAATCTATATGAAGTCAGTATTTATACTAATTAATTTCTGTTTGATTTCATTTATTTGGTTTTACTAAGCCTTCAGCTTGTAGTTGATTGGTTGGTGTAAGTAAAACACATCCTCAAGCCATCATCAGCTGTTTTAAAATGAAAAATGTTTTGTTTGTTAGATTTAATCACTATGAAAGATCCTGAAATAAATTGTGAGCTGATCATGTTTTTGCAGCTTGTCGCTAACCCTTTGCTATTGTATTTATTAATGTCTTCCTTTGTGTCTTAAGGTTAAAGTCTGTGATCAAACATGACTCAAAATATCTTGCTCTCTCTGTTCTGCTCCTCCTCCGTCAGGTGCGCGTGTATGACCCCTCGACGCCTCAGAGAAGGCCGGTGTTGGAGGCTCGGTTTGGAGAGTACCCGCTCACTGCGCTCTCTCTTCCTGCCAGCCGGGGCACAGTGGTCGTGGGCAACACTCACGGGGAGCTCGCCATCCTTGACCTCCGGAAAGGTAAGCAGTAGGTGGATGCTCCATTTATTTTTTCTCTTTGGCAGGTTTGGATCTGCACAAAAGCGATTGTTTTGAACTGAAGCTCCATTGCTCAGGGCTTTTTGTCCTGGATCTGTGTGTTCCAAGTATAAAGGATGTATTTGGCCAGCCGTTCTCCGTATATGCACTGCATCATTATTGAACTTCTAAGAGTGTTGTTTTGTCTGACCCCATTTTCTTCTCTCTCTGCCTGCAGGGCTTGTGTGTGGGTGTCTTAAGGGTCTGGCGGGGGCAGTGCGGGGGTTGCAGTGTCATCCTTCCCTCCCATTGGTGGCCTCTTGTGGTTTAGATCGTTTTCTGAGAGTACACAGCCTGGAGGACCGTTCTTTACAGCACAAGGTATGAATGCACAAGAAAACAGTTTTTTTTTCTCCATTCTCCCTGCACTTCTTCTGTCTCATTCTCTCTGCAGATTTCTGCATAGCCCCTCTCCTCTTCTTTCCATCTGATTGCATGTACCATATAATCAGAAGTGCCTCCCACTCAGTGTTATGTTTGTATAAATGAACATATTTTCTCTGTGCAGGTATATCTGAAGTCACGACTCAATTGTGTGCTGCTGTCTAGCAGAGAACTGGAGGTAAGCGGCGGTTCAGTGTCAGCAGGAGCATCGTTTTGATGATTCGCTTTTATATAACTGCCTATCAACAGTAAAAACAATGGAAGTTGCTTTCTCGTTGATGCCTTTATACTGCATCCTAATGACTTTGTTAAACGTTTGACTCTTTATGTGCTTTTCTCTTATAGTCATCAAGTGCTGATGATAGTGGAGATGTAGAGGAGGTGAAAGCAGAGGAGGATGAGGTTTGGGATACCATGGAAACAGTGACGGAGAAGACAAAAAAGAGGGCTGCCCAGAAAGACGAAGCAACTGTTACTGGAGTAGATGGGAAAAAGAAAAGGAAACTAGTGAAAAAGTGATGTAAAGTAATTTCTAATGGACATTTTTATCATTTTATATACAGTTTATGCCTTGAGTAAAACTGTATCAACAGTGGCCAAGAATAAACTTAAACCTGAGAGGCTGTTTAATATGGATATATAATAATAGGTGCAGGTCATTTTTTTGGTCCATTAAGTGAATTTGAACATTAAATAATCTGAAATGTGATTCTAAAATTGCATTTGAAATGTCAAAACTCTGCTTAACTGGAACAAGTGAACCAGTTTATGTAAAAACAATTTGTCCCGTTAATCACCTCATTTCTATATTGAACAGAATTTAATGAAGAATCTGTATACCATAAACGCAGAATGTTTCAGAAATATGTGTTCATTCATCATTTTCTGGCTCAGTTGAAAATGTAATGTAACATTAGAAGTGTGCACTTAAGAAAATATTTTCTACAGAAACCCCAATTAAAATGGTTCGGCCTGTTGTGTGTTAAAGGCTCTAAAATACTACTTTATATGAAGTTCAAATTCTTTCCCAAGGCCTATTTATAGTATCTTTTTCACAATTAATTTGATGTGCATTTTACTTAGATAAGAATAGAATTTTGAATCTGTGCTGGTCTAAAGACCTTGACTTGACCGTGAATGACCACACATACCTGTGCTTGTGTGGGTGTGTGTATTACACATTGCTTTATGCACACTTAAACACACCCTATTCTAGCCTCTCTGATAAGATAAGGGACATCTTGGTTAGCACTGAAACTGTCGACTTTGTAAATGAGAACATTAGTAGCTAATGACTGATTTGTGAAGCTGTACATTTCAAAAACATTACATTTGAAAGTACTGTTCTGTTAACTTATAACTAACAAGGAATCACATAAAATTAGAAAATAAATTCTGTCCAAGCTTCTTGTATGGTAAAATGTACTTGTAGATCTGATTATAGACAGGGATGTTCAAGGAATGAAATGTTTCCATGTGTAAGATTTTTATGGTGTTTAGTGCATCTAATAACTAAGTGACACCTTCAACGTGACACATACTTTACCATGGAAACATTTTAAAGGAGCTGAAGAGCAAAGGGCATAAAATATAGAGGGGGTGACGAAGTATGACAACATGAACTGAACTCTGAGACCTTGCAGGGTGGAGGGGCAGTATTCCTGACTGCTGACTTGCACTAAAAAACCAGAAGCGTGACTTTATATGCAGGACGACAGCCTCAAAATTTCCTGTATGGTTCTGGTAAATTTTGAAAGCCAAAAAACATTGCATGTTTGTGGTTTGACCCTGTGCTCTATAACAAGGTCGTAACCGCTGGAAAGATTTCATTTCCTCTTGATTTCCTCCTTTAAAGTGAGGGAAATAGCTGAAATTAACCCCAGAAACAACCATCATTACATTACACATCATGAAATGCATTTATCTTACAGGCCTGTAATTATTTAAGCATTTTCCAACAGACTGAGTACAATGTAAGATTGTGTGTGTTTTTTCATTATTATTATTTTACTGTAAATCCAGTCCCAAAACTCTTTATCGCTAGAAACACAACAGATTTCGACCCAATTACATCCAGACTTCCCTCTGCCTAGGGTACTATATTATGTGCTTAGATTGGAGTATTTTGTCATGGTACAATTAATTGATGCGCCATTCTTGTGTTTGACAATCGAAATTCCTTCACACAGTGTGCATTTCTGTGCTCTTTAACCTAACAATGGCAATAATTAACCCTCTCTTATGAGCATTTTATTATCCTGTTATAAAGGCTACTTTTTCATTCTTTGATCAATGTTTAGAGTCCATAGTCTAATTTATCTATTCTAATCTTGCAGCATCACCTCATGTTGTGCCATTACCAGTAATTAAGATGTTGACCTACATCACACATTTACTGATTTATAAATCAAGCCTTAGTGACTCACAGCAGGTGAATATACCATATGAATATGCAAAAAATAAAACTTTATAATAGTTTTCGTGATATTTAAGAAACAATTATCTGATTCTCTAAAAAATAAGTTAACCCGTTGCGCCCTCTAGTGGTTTATTGTGTTTATAGTAAACTGGCAAGACGTCTGTTTGGCCCACAACATTTGTATAGTCCATTTTAATGAAATGTGTTGCTTTGAAGTGTTTTAAAAATATAAATGTACCTAAAAGCATCCAAAATAGATTCTTAAGATAGAAAGTGTGTAAGTCCATAGGAGTCCAGGATGTTGGATTTGAGGGGCAGGGCCAAAAAGATGTTAAATATTGACAGGGAGTGTAATTATTAACTAAGCTTCAACTCCAAATCACTTTTAAACTGGCCTCTCTCGGCCTGACATAGCACTGCTGACCGACGCTCCCCTCTCACCTGCTGGCTCTCTCGTCGTGCTGTCACTAACTTTGCTGTTTTCAGTTCCTTTTTCATTTTTTATAGCCATATTTTGTTATGCTTCTGTTAATTCTTTAATCTCTATATTCAGAAGATTTTTGTTTGCATCGTTTCTCTTTTTTTTCTGATATGGACTCCCACGAGGAAGAACTGTGAATGTAAGTAACTCTTTATTGAAAATAAAGTAATGGGTGCACATGTAAGGAACATGGAATGTATCATTTTTGAGAAGTTGTATAAATATTTGTATAAAAAACCCAGCAAAATTTATGTGAAGTTCACATCTTTGCCTTGCCCCTCTGCAATTACGCTGATTCATGTAGGAATTTTCAATGTTAACTTCTGTCTGTTTATTTGTAAAAGGCTAGATTAATATCCTAATTTAAATATACCTGCATTGTCTAACAAAATGAAGCTAATGCTTTTAAAGAGGAAGGGAAAAGAATGCAAAAGGCTTGTGTTCGGCCTTCAAACATTCTAAACATTACTTTCCAAAAACAGGATCTTACAAAGATCAATTACAAGGGTGTAGAGTAAGTTTAGTCTGAAAATCTTTCAACTTTTTCTTTTCATTAAATGAAGTCAATTGCATGTTACTGAAATTCAGTCAGTCTTAAGTTGGCTCAATTCATGTTTATACAACAGTCACAATTTAATGTAGTGTCATGTCAAATTTTTAGCTGTTGTTTTCTTTTCTACAAAGTAGATTTGATCAAATACATGAGTTTTACTCCGATATCAAGTACCACAATTGGGAATTGTCATAAAAATGAACCACCTACATATGTGCATGCCATTGATTTTCTCTCACCCTACACAAATGTTGGATACGGCGCAGGGATGAGAAAGATCATGGTGGATTCAAAAGATGATAACAGGAGCAGATAACACATACTGACTCATGTGCTGTGTGCCCCTTTAATTGCTTTATTATGCTGTTTTTCCAAAGGTAGCAAGGAGCAGTGGGAGGTTTACAGCAAGGCAAAGTCTAAAATATGATATAAATGAAGAAACCAAAAGGAGAGAAAGAACAATATAGAGAATGTGGGATGGGTAACTCATGACTAAAAGGAAGCGATATCTACGAAATTAAAACTTAGGGACATAAAGGCACATAAATTATTGAGCGACACACCCTTTTCTCTCTCAGCCCATACACAAATTCTGCCGAGCACCCTCATGTTGACTGCCATCATAAAATTGCTGTTATCAAGATCAGTCTTAGCACTTTGGACGCGCTGTTGGCCAATAATGGAGTCTATGGCATGTCATAAAGATGAGAAAGAAACGAGAGGTCAAAGTCATGAGCCAACAGAGGAACTCTCACATGTGCTTAATGGCAGTCATTAGCCATTGTCTGAATCCTGATTTAACCCTCTAACTTGGTTCTCTGTGCTTTCATTTCAGGTGGCACCGCTTCTTTTTTGGGGGGGATCTTCTTCTTTTCTATTCATTTATTTATTTTTTAGAAAACTTGAAGTACCCTATAGTGTGAGAATGGGACATAGACTAACTGTTGTGTGAGAATGAGTACACTTCCTTCCGCTGTCCAAAGGGGGAGCACTCCAAAGATTTGGTGCTGACTGGTTGTAACAGCAACTCCATGTGGAAGGTTTGTGACTTCCAGTGGAGCTGCTGTTGCGTGCAGATAGTCACCTTTATCTCCTTTGGTCCTGCATGAAAATACAGTCTTAATTAATTATCTGGATTCAATTTATGTGGCTGTAATTTCATATGCATGTTGGTGGAAAGCATGTTTAACCCAGGGTCTAGGACACAGGGTGATGACCTATGAATTGACAGCCAGTGTTTGCAGTCCAGCTGCCTGTCAGTTCTGTAGGCCACTGTTCTGTTTATCCTACTAAAAACACACTGATTTGCACAGAGAATGCAGGGCATTGTATACATGTTGGACTAGAATTTTTTTTTGGTAACATTTATGTATATGTTTTGATGTAGTTATTACAACATGATTTATTTGATATTATATTTACTTATTCGTTTTATTTTACTGTATTTAATTTCATTTAAACATGACATTATTTCAAAATAAAGTTCTTTGATATTAAATAAATGTGACTTTCACATTATATGTAATTATGTGTTGTGCCTTTGCTCTCACTCTTTTCATGATATATCTTATGTTTTTTTGTCATCTTCTTTGCATACATTTCATTTATACATTATTTACACCATTTTCCAAAATCAATGTTGCCATGACTTAAGATCCATTCACACCAAGAACGGTAAGAATAATGATAAATTAGCTATATAATAATACTACACTATATTAATACTATAATGGCATCCACACCAACGCACGATGAAGTTCTGTTTATTATAGGCACACACCTGCTGCTACAAATGCTCAATTTGGATATTGATTGGTTGTCAAAAAATTGCTCTGAAAGTGATTCCAAATATTGTTCCTCTGTCGTCATTTTATAGTTGCTTTGTAGATTTACCTTTTCCAACAGAAATAGAAAGATGATTAAATCGTTACAGTTATCATCCTTGGTATCAATGGGCCTTTAGTCACAGTTTGAATGAGCCATTGAAAAGAAAGTATGGTCACTGACAAAATATGCCACTTCATCTACAAACAACCTGATTTCCTGTAAATATCAGCCTGCTTTCACTTTCATTGTTTTGCCCAGATTCACCCCCGCCTTCCAAAATGTCAGGGGAGTCTTAGATTTACACTTACCAACATGTAGGGACAGGTCATTGAAAATGTTTCATTATAAGATTGCTGATTAAAAAATATATAAATTAGTTAAATAATGTTTTTTTTTAATTGAAAACTTGTTTGTCTGCATCCCGTTCTGACACTCTAAGGACACAATTGAAGCATTGGGAACTCCCTGCAA